AACCCTCTTTGATACAAAAGAATGTTTAAATGTGATTCCTAAACCTTGTTGAACTGTCCTAGGCACGCAAGGGGCTGAAGGGAGGGGGGGGGGGGGATATTTTGGGGGGGGGGGGGGGTTAATTTGATATTAAAAAAAATAATTGATATTTAAAAAAAGGTGTTAACCAAATACACAAGGAGAAGTAGATATCAAAGTTGTAAATCATATTTATTTTTTTCATTTTATAAAAAATAATGAGGAAAATATTTTTGTTCTTATTTTATTTTTTATTTATCACAAAAGTCAATTCAAAGTAATCATAATATTTTTATACCAAATTTATAAGAAAATAATATGCATAAAATAAAAATGTGAAAATTAAAATTTATATGGAAAAGAATGGGCACACCATAAATGTTATAGTGGTTTAATCAACCTTAAACTACGTCCACTCACCGGAGTGTTTCACATAGGATATTGCACTAAATATTTTAGTTACTCTCATTTAGCTCCCCTAGAAAGGTGGTGAAGCCCTTACAAAATCATTTCTACCCTTCCACAGTGCAGCTGAGATCCTGAATCCTTTTAACCCTCCTATTGAGGTAGAGAAATTGGAATCCTTTTCACCCTCCTAGTGAATAATAAAACTTTGAATCCCTTCTACCAACCCTATGCAATGGTCTATCCAAATCCATTGTCACCATGAGCCTTTTCTCAGAGTTTTCCTCAAAAAAAAAAAAAAAAAAAAAAAAAAAAAATTTCCCAAAAAAAAAAAAAAAAAAAAAAAAGAAAAGATGCTTGGAGGAAGACGTTGAATGTTCATAGGGCTAATGTATGCAACACCATCTCACACACTCCCTTGATTACACAAGGCTCTTCTCTTTCAAAACCTCACCTCTTTCACTCCCAAAACCAAAGCTCCCTCTTTAAACCCTTTCTTTTAGAAAAGCTCTCATAGTAAATTTGACTGAAGATTGTCTTGAACAAATTAAGAGGTGTTTAAATACAAATAGTCCAAAAAACCATTATTTTTCATGTTAGCAGACATTATTTGTACAAAACGATCTTGGATCGTACAACATGATTAACTCAAATATCCCTCCTCATTTTATATCACGAATATTCTGTAGTATGATCAGTTTAAGATTCCTTAATAGATCATAATATATGAATAATAGATTGTACAATACGATTAGTTCAAAACTAACATTCATCAACGATGATCTCTAGGTTGATCAAACATTATATTTTTCAACCTTCTAATATCATTAGTAGAATTCTAAGAAAATAGTTTAATCCTATCAAGGTTTGTCTAGGATGATCCCTTTAATGACATAATATCATCTCTTTCAATCTTCAATTACAATCACGATCATACAGTACGATCAAAATTTATTAATTAAACTTGATTTTAATAGAATAACCATAACGATTAATTTAGGTAAGATTTCAAACATTATATAGTACAAATTAGTTCTTATAGTTTAATTAGTTTAGTCATTAAAATTCAAATACTTGCCTAAATCTGATTGGAAGCTAGGTGCTCAAATTTAAAATAATCATATTGTACGATCAAGTTTATACAATTTGATTAGTTTCCTAAATTTAATCTCTCAATTAGTCATTTTAAATTTTTTTTTGATCCACAAATCATAGATCATTAAATTTTTTTTTGATCTACAAATCATAGATCATGATTGAGAACATACTGTATGAACTTTTATAAAAATAAAATTTAGATTCTCACTCCTCCATGTGTGTTTGTGCGAAAATGAAACGATTCATTTTTTACAGGACAATTGACTCATGAAAGATAAAAATAAATAAACGAAAATATAAACTCTTACAAAAACGTCATGCCTATTTTAACTAGTCATGAGTCTTGATCCTTTGTTGATATATGGTGAACAATGTACCTAAAATGTTGGTATGCCCATGAAAAATATGTGATAATAATACAAGGAAAAAAAAGTAGATTCAATAATGGATGTTATCATCAAAATCACAAGCTTATGCTTCTAGATTATAATAATACTCATATATAATTTTAGAAATATTTAACAAGTAAAAAATTGGCCATGGAAAAGGAACTTACCCTCAAAGAGGACCCATAGTTTGGACTCATATAATGATATAATGGATGATACTACCTTGAAGCATGAGGAGAACTCACCCCACATCATTAACGAGTGTAATTCTCCCAGTCCTACCTAGGAGCTCACCTTTATGTGGATGTTTTGATTAAAAAAAAAATATTTATCTATATATAGTTTTGAAAATATATTAATTTTCTTTGGGAAATATTTAATTCTGAATTTTGAAATTGAACACGTCATTATAAACAATATATCGTCTCGAAAGGCGATCATATCGTTCCCTAATGGGTTCAGTTTTCAAAATTATAATCGTATCCGGATTATTGTAGTCAAACTCAAAGGGAGAATCACATTTGACCCCGGAGGATCAAAATGGAATCTAACAAATTGTTTGATTATTCTAACTCGGATAAAAGATCATTAATTTCATAATCGAAACCACGATAATAATTGATATATCTCTTTGCAGAAAGAAGATATCAATTATTATTGATTGTTCGAAAATGATGATAATGATCGCCGGATTTGATTTTTCCACAGAAAATTAATAAGAGATTTTGAAAAATTATTGGTTTTGAAAATAAGTTCTGGGTTTCTAAATCTCCTACGAGCGCATGCCCTCGTAGTTAATTACATCGTAAGAAATCGAAATTTCTTACGAAAACTCTCGATTAAAATAGCAGTGTAAATTTCATTTTGAATTTTCAAAGTTTGACATCAAAGGAAGAAAAAGGTAGGAATTTCAAGTGGTATTGGTTCAAGTTTGAGCAGTTATTTCTGGAGTCAAAGGAAGAAGTGTAAGAGGCGTTTTGAGATTCTGAATTACTTCAGAAACACCCCAGTCTATCCTAATTGTTCGGCTTGTATTTGATTGAAAGAAATTTTTAGTTT